ATTTTGGAGTTCTTCTAATACGAAGAACGACAAACATCTGTACCCACGTAAGGTGAATCTGCTTAGCTATGCTAATAACAACAACAGCCAAGCAATATTCCTGGAACCCAATCTAAAAAGGAAGAAAGAAAAGTAACATAAGAGTAATCAATCAAATTCCTAAAATGCAACAAAGAAAACTTAGATTACTTACTCGTGCCGTCAGCCCTAACAGCCATGTAATCTATTCAATATTCCAAACAAACTGTTACCCATTTCATATCTCTCTCTCTTAGTTCTAACACCCTTTTCCTTATTTTTCATAGAAACGGTAAACTCATTCAATTCAAAATGGATACAAACAATTACTCTAACCAGTTTGAAATAAAAACAAGCCCTCATTAGCACAGGAAAAGGCAAGCATCAACGTTGACGACAGAAATGGAAAAAAGCTAAGATAAAAATCACGTTTATGTCAGTAAACAAGTAGCAAAGAAATACCCAATAAACCTAGATGCATGACAAGTTTTAACCTATCTATAGAAGTATGCATTTGTCTATTATGCTTTCATCTAAAACCAAGCGCCCATTATCACACTAAACATTATACTCCTCCACTGCAATTCCTTCACAAGTATCACAGTAAAGAAAAACAACAGTAAGATGGATTAAAACTTTGAAATTTCTCAAAAATATATGACCAAGATCAACACTCAATTGAAATTTTGAATCTGATGAATACTTTAAACAAAGACAAAGCTTGTAAAATCCGTTAATGGCGTTCATGTTGGATACAGAAAGAGAGAGAAATCGCTGAATTCCTCAAAGAAAAAAAATGACCAACAAAACACCAACCAGTTAGTCGATCAGAAGGAGATCAAGAGAATTCGTGAAAATTGAACAAAAATTAATCAGCTCACCATCATTCAAAAAAAAATCACTGATAAACTCCAAACCCAGAATTACCACAGCGGAGGAGCTCACCTTTCAGTCGGATCAAAACCCAGAAGAAACAAGCATTCACAACGGCACATTCCCTTCTCCAAACCTACATTTCCAACCCATTTGATCAAATTAGAAAACAAAAAAGAAAAATTCAAAAACAAAAACAAGACCCAGACGGCAGCTCACCTCACCAAATGCATGTACCGATCAAAACGCGAAGAAGAACAAGGACCAGAAAATCAGTGACTAGGGTTTGAAACCTGATGAAATGGAGGGAAAAGAAAGTGAGATATAAAGAAGCAAGAAATGGGGTTTTATTCGGTTTCATAAGCTACACATGAAAAACCAACAAGTAAAGAGGGCTTAGAAGAAAGTCCCGAATTTCACTCACTGGTTTACAGATGTCATGTAAGTAACTCCCTTTTCTCACTTTCTCTCTCTCAACATTTCTCCATTTGTGCCTCCTTGTCAAGCTTTAATCTTTATGTACTACTACTCGTTTATCCCTCCTCCTTCAGGCCACTCCACTTTTGTCCATTTGTCTTCTCTACCCCTTCTTTTTTCTTTGCGAAACAACATATAGAACGCGGATTACAGTAGCCCCTTTGATTTCCCATGCTTAATTTTGGAAGGTTTACCAAACCTGGGTTTTTTTCCTTTTTATCTTCTCTGTGTAGCTGGATTTTTTTTTTATGATACACTAAATCCTCTGTATTTGTACATATTTATTTTGTGATTTCTATATCTATATATGTGGATACACATTTAATGGTCATACTCAAGTATTCAACATATTCAAATCATACATGGGTTTTATAATAAATTATATTCTACATATAATGGTTTGTTAGCTACTTCTTTATCATATAAAATATTTTTATATAGATATAATTTATATCATATTATTTCTAGTTTAAAAAA